CACATTTGTCAGATAGCATGCATTTTTTTCCTCTTCTTCTTTGTGTGGGTAACTGCAAGGAGATTTTGAGCAGTACTTGGATGTAGCAGCTTTTAAAATTTTGAGTTTTTATATAATGTGGATCACCTTAGAACATTTTTTGCAGCTGAATTTTCCTTAGACATCATCACATTTGAGCACTTCTAAGTGAGTTGGGCGTCAGCAATTTCTGTTAGCAAATTTTTCACGTCTAAGTAAGTACTCTTATGGCTGGCTGTAGCTTTAAATGTATGTCATGATTGCTAATAAGTGCTAATAAGTGGGATTCATTTATGCTTGCGGGAATCAATAACTGTTTATTATAATACGTTTGCAAAAAACGAGTATCACAGAAAATTAATTACGAGTTAATGAAAGGTTTTAACAAAGAAGAAATTTTACGATAAGAAAACGTGGCTCAATGCGGTGTACCAAAAAATTTAAATATTTTGCACAATCAGGTCTTAAAAACTGTGATTGCGTTGCGGATGAGTACGAAACCCGGATTTACCACATGAATATCAGCAAAATTTTCTCTTTAAAAATTTCCGGATTTTAGTTGACTGCACAAGTATCCTTTCTGGCTTCTTTAACATCTATGCAACTTCAGCCATATACTTTCAAAATTTTTAAAAACCTTCGAGAATCTCTGCATTTACTGTTTGCATAGCTGCTACGCAGATGTTGCTGTAGTTGGTTTCGTTACAGAATAACAAAAGTATTGAAATTTTCTGGCTTGAAGACCTTTTTTGGACGGTAGTTTTTGCAAAGGAACTGCTAAGAGACATTTTATGCATTTCTTAGGCTGCTTACTTCGAGAAGTTTCTTCTTCACATCTTCACATCACATCTTTCTTCTTCACATCTTTCACATCTTATTCACGTTTTTTGATGCTTTATTGGAGCACTTAGTTGTCTTTAATATATTTTTTGAGATCTACAGCTTCTTTTATTCTTCTTTTAGTAATTTAATTTGATATTGCTTTCGTACTCTTAGGCTAATTTTGCTGTGCATTTGATTAAATAAGACGATTTATAATTGACGCATGAAGGCCATGCGCCTTTTTGTGGCTCAAAAAAAGAATGAAAAAAAGATGGGAAATTTATTCTTTTATCTGCTACCAATTAGTTCTTAAAAGTGTCAATAAGTTTACTTTAAAAAATTGATATCGGCTTTATGATCAAGAGGGTTGAAGTTTATTATGCTAGTTGCTCCTGCTGGCCGTTTTTTCAGCTTTCTTCTTCTGCTTTGACTTGTATACAAATAAATTCTAAA